TGTATTATTTTAATTCGAACGGATTCATCTATAATGATTATTATTATTATTATTTACTCATAAATAGTAATTTTTTTGCAATAATTATTTTGCTCTTTATTAATTCGTTAACTAATTTTTTTTCCTTTTTTTTTATTATTTTGTTTGGAGTTGTTTCATTTTATTTTTATAATTTTTTTGTATAAAACACGAGATTAGCTGAGAACAAATAATTCGATAGAAACAAATGCCTTTTTAAACATTTCTTTTTTTTTTTTTGTATAATTTAATAATAATGTTATTATAGCAATAGTACAACAGTGTGTTTTACGAGAAATTAGATCACTCGAAAAATGTCGAGAATCTTGGACAATTGCAAAGAATGCGCAATTTTCTTACGCCTTTCCTTGTATCTTTTCTGCATTTTTAAGCAGATTCTAATCAATACAAAGTAATCGTATGAAATTAACATCCTTAAGAATTAACTATACTCTTGGTTTCTTTTTTTTCTTCTCACACATAGTTTGTCGCATTTAATTCTTACAGATATCGAACTGGTTTACAGGAGGGAACATCAAATGTTTCAGGCCTTTTGAAGAATATTTTATATAGCGGAAATTTCTATTCTCTGTTTAATTTTAGAAAATAATTATTACAAAAAAAAAAAAAAAGAACTTATCAATTTACAGAGTGAGAGAAAAAGAGAGGAATCAAAGATAGAAAGAGAGAGACTGAGAGTGAAAGAGATAATAGAAATATTCAAAAAAGAAAAATACATCGAATGCACAATTTTTGTTCTGTTGCAATTTATGTATATAAAAAAAAGATCCTTTTATTTTTTATTTATTTATTTACTTAATTATATATTTATTCATTTGTTCTTTTTCTTCTTATCTTTCCTTCTATTTCTTTTTTTTTTCTTTTTTTTTTATTAATATTTTTTTGTTCTGTAACATCTCCTTTGTTTTAACACATAACGCAGTTTTAATTGTCAACTTGATTGAACTTATGATGAGTTAAACGTTTTAATAACATAATTAATCAAAACATATTTATGTATAAAATGCAAAGAAAAATTGGCTGCTTATGTACGTGTATACGTATCGTCTTCTTAAAAAATTGACATTTTGCTAATAAATTGAATCAATAAAATGTAATTTCATAATTGAATTTAACTAGAAAATCAATCGAAAGTGTGCAAAAGTTGTTAACGTGATTCCAAGTTTTCATTTATATAATTAGAAATATATTTTATATATATATACAACGATACCGCTGACGTAAATCTGAGTGTGCGTTTATCTTTCTTTCAAGCTTCTGTATAGAAATTATTTTGGATAGAAATTATAATCAGTACGAAGCATCGAAATTTCCTACTAATTATTTTCTATTATTTTTTTTTTTTTTTTATATATATTCTTTTTTTTTTTTTTTAATTTGACCGAAACAATCTTGTACCTTCGTTAATGGAAAATATTTCGAATAGAATCATCACAGACATAGGATCCATAGACTAAATATATCTATGTATTATTCAAATGAAAATGGCAGTTACGACTAGAAAATAGAAAAGCTCAAAATACATGTACATGTATTGCAGTATTGCAACATGCATTTAAATTACAGTGAAACATTTTTATGTGAATGGATAGAAAGTATTATAAAAAAATGAAATTGATAAAATAACGAAAATATTTTCTTCCCCTATTTATACATTTTTCATATAAAGTTGAAATAAAAAAATATCGTACATATGTAAATAGTCTCTTGAAAAATGTATTATATATAATATCAGCTATTGTAAAAGATAGATAGATATATTTTTATATATTTTTTTTCTTCTTTCCTTTATGATTTTTTAATTAATTTCATAAAAACGGACTAATATTACAAATGGACGACATGATTTTGCACGTTTTAGTTACACGGTATACGCGAATATACTGTATTTATATATTTATTATAATCATAATATATCGATTAATGCAAAATAGAAAAGATGAAAAAAATGATTACTATGTTTTCTTCAAATATGTAAAAATGTGTTCACACTTAATGAACTTGTTTTATGAAAATGTGAAAATGAAATACTTTAAAGTGTTAAATAAAAATCTTTTATCATACGAAATGAAAATAAAAATATTATGCAACTAATGTAAAAAAAAAAAAAATAATTAAAAATATACTTTCAGCATTATCATATAGCATAGTTCATAGCTGACTAGCATAGATATTATCTATTTTACGTACTGCCAATGCCTACTAGACAATTAGTCGATGGATCCTACAAAACAAATCTCTTAGACTTATTTAATTAAAAGTCTAGAAATGGTATTTGACGATGATCTAGTTAATGTGTGTGTGTTCCATTTTTATATTACCTCCAATTATTATAATAATCACATAATTAAGTTAGCATTGTAATTGTCAAGTTACTTGTTAATAGAGAAGAACGTGTAAGAATAATCAGTTGAATGTTTTCTTTCTCTTTCTGTTTCTTTTTCTTTCTTTTTTTTTTTTGCTCAGTAATCTTGGAATTAGAAGGAACCAAACAACCAATGATACTTGTATGCTATTATGGCAGCAGAATTTTGCTACAAGCTTATATCTTCTAGCTAATAATGTTACTGCGTTTTGTGTGATTTGATGTCAGGTTGAACAGTCACTGTTTGGAACCTGGGTAGACATAGACCAAATTTGCTCTCTATTCCTTTAAAAACAGGCAAGGCTATTTGGTAGCCACCTATGTGATCTGGATTTGATGATCGTATTTCATCTACCAATCCTGTAGCAGGAACCCTTTGTTCTGACCCTGTTGGTCGACTGCAATTAAGATTTATTATTAATTCAACTATTTCTACTAATTTATGTTAATCTATTAATATTTATATACCTTTTTAAGCAACAGTACTGCAAATACATTATCATAAGCATATTAAAAGCGTATGTTAAAATGTTTACATATTACTATACAATAATTTATAATTACAGCACAATTAAAGCATTAATTACATGCAGATTAGTATTTGATAGATAGTTTGTTAAGTATATGATTGAATATATTTCATTAATAAATATATGAGCACAAGTGTTGCATTCCATCTGTATTAATATAACTACAACAATAACTTAATTAGTAATATAAATACAGGGTATAATAAAACTTTTTTATATACTCAGATAATTTTTCAAAATAACGGTATACTAAGAGTACATGCATATTATTTAATATATCATATATCAATTTATTTAAATAATTCAATTCTCGATAAAAAAAAAAAAAATAATCATATTCTCGTAACATATTAATTACATGTATTATTTTCATTTAAACATGTTAAGCAAGGATTATATTATTTGTATTTGTTGCATTTGCAAAAATATTATCTTACTCCAATAACTCGGCTGCTTCGTATTATAAATTTATTTTCATTTTCACCGCATGCACGTGACATTTTTTGTTTTTTTGTTTTGTAAGCAAATAACGATAAATAACATGAATCACAATTTATAAATTTTTTTTTGTTGAAATACGAAAAAAAAAGTTACTTACGATCCTCCAAAGTCAACAACAAATAACCTTTGCAGCAACTCGTAGGTGAAAAGTGTGACACCAAATTGCGGAGAGGATCTGAATACTCGTGCTGTAAGAAAAATAATATAACAAATTATATTTCAATTAAATTCATTGCTAGTTTTATTGGATTTACGATCTACAGGGTGCTATATGCAGGCATATCCGAAGTATTTGTTCGTATTTATTATTCTTTGTCTAGATAAAGATTTATTAATATATAAGTGTTCAATAAATATGCAAAAGACGTCACCATTGTTTGTTATTTCATTGAAAATATGATAAATGATATTATGATTGTTATATAACAATGATATATAAGAATATTTTTTGTATAAATTATTAACAAAATTATTTCGTTTCGAATCAATCGTTTGGTGACACATGTGACATTTTATTTATTTACGTGGCTGCAATTATAATGATAACAATATAGGTATATACATATATAAGGTGTCCTGTAACTAATGGTACTAACGAACAAGGATGATTCTACATAAAAAAAAAACTTCATGTAAAATCATCTCTTCCTTATATAAGACATCCTGTATATAATTATGTGTATATAATGATAGACGTGAAATTCAGTAACATAAAATGGACAAAAATCAAATCGTATAAAAAACATTGCACTCAATAATTCACGCTGTATAGAAGAAATTGTAAGTAATACGGTGTAGCGGTGAAATTGGAACAGAAAAAAAAAAGAAAAGGATTGGTAAAAAGAAAAAAAAAAACCCATAGAAACAGACAGAAAAAGAGAGAAAGGCAGAGTGTACTTACTGAGAAGTAAGTGGCCAGGTCATTTTGGGGGGGGAAGAATGGTCGAAGGATGCACCAGGGCCAAATTCCCCGTGCATGCAATCGACCAGATCAAAGTATATTACTAACCGTTAGAATGTCTTTTTAATTGACTTAAGAGAAAATCTAATAAATTATATAACGCAACTACTAAAACTACAAATTGTACAAAGACTAATGCGCTCATAAATTAGGCGAATTCTTTTTTTTTTTTTTTCATAGAAAATAATAATAATAATCTATTTAATATATAACATATTTTGATATTTTCCTAGCGATAATATTCATTAAGATACATCAAATGCATTAAAGATTGCAATAACAATGTACTTATATTTTTAATAGACAATGTAAAATATATTATATAGAAAATAAGGCTTAAATATAATATTGAAGCAGATACAAAAAAAAGCGAAATAAAAATATAAAAATTCAATTAGAAAAATAAACGATGCTGTGCATGGATCTTAAATTTTCTATTGAATTAAATCTTATATATTGCACATTTGCGAGGTTTAAGAAAAAAAATTAAAAAAGGACTAGAAAAATATACAAAAGTAGTAGACGGTAATAAAATAAGATCTAGTATGAATTAGAAATACCTGAAGCTCCTTTCCAGAATGCTCTGGCACCTTCCTCGTTATAAACTTTTCTCGCGCAATCGAGCAAACCTGTGTAAGTCGTTTGACCTGCTCTAGCAACAACCTAAACAAATTTAAATAGGCTTATTAACAAAATTATCATTGATTTGATTGACTTAATTTTACTGATGTTTTTTTTTTTTTTGTAAATACCTGTAATCTAGTTTTGATTACATCTGCTGGAGTAACCAGCGCTGCCGCAGGTACACCAGCAATTGCGCCAGAAAATAAAAGTGACAATGGTGTATTGTATCCTCCTTCATCGGCCAGTTTAGCTTTTATATGAGCATACATTGGAAAGTAAATTGCGCTAAATGGTACGTCCCTTAAAAAGCATGCTTTAGCACCCTATTATTATTTATAATAAAAAATATACATTTAATTTATTACAAATTCGTTTACAAATACAAATAATATGATTTCTTTTAACTTGAATACTCACTTTGTATAATCCAAATAGACCTAATTCTTTAACCACAGACCATGCTCGTACTTTCGTACCACCTGCAATTTCTCCGGCAACCTGTAACCTAATTTTCACGATTTCCAAAGGATTCGTGAAAATTACCTGAGATCCTCCAGCCTAATAAAAACAAAAATATGATCATTAAAAATATATTCTCTTTTAAAATAGAAACGTAGATATATGTAAAAGAAAATTTGATCGTAAGAAAAAAATAATTATCATATAAAAATAGTTTTTTTTTCTTTCTATCCTGTTTTTTTGTTTAACAATTGGAAAAAAAGATACTTACGCAAGCACCGGATATAATTTCACCATAAACCGGTAAAATTCCATTTTTGTCCATAAACTTATCTCTTACGAAATCATTAACCGTAAGCTTGATCGCTTTTTCCGGCGCTACGCCCATCAATTGAGGTAATAAGCCACGATAAAGGCCAAAAAAGCCTTCGTGTCGCATGACCTGTCAAACGCAAATGACCATCTTTATGATTAAAAATGTAGACGGTGTTACACGGCGAGACTTTTCGATTCCAACCTTTCTTAAACAATCCAAGCTGTTCCTGTACATCAGTTCCCCAATGAAAGATCCTGTCCTTTGATTCTGCAATCGAGTTTTCACTAGGTCGATTGGGTACACCACGGTAGCACCAACGGCTAAAAAAAGAAAACATTTTCTTCGATTAGGTTCGAATTATATATATTAAATTATTTTTAATAAAAAGTTATCAACAACATGCCTGAATGGTTGTATCATTGTGCATGAACATATATATGTTTCATAAATTTGGTGCTCTGTTGTGGTTGAAATGTAATTTAAAAAAAAAAAAAAAATAATAATATAAACGAAAAAAAGATTATAAAAATAATATTGAATAGGTTAGTTAATTATAGTAATGTCAAAATTTTTATTATAAAAAAATAAAATAGCAAAGAATGTGTTTTAGTATTTAAAATTGTGATATTATTAATTGGCAGCAAACTCATTAAATTTCGATAATGAAATAAAAAAAAAGATGAATGATAATATACAGATAATAATTAACGAAGGAGTGGGAATAGTTTATATTATTAGTCAGCTCAGTCTCATTATTCTATTGATTCTTGTCTCGCATAATATCTGTAAAGTAGAATCTACGGAGTAAATATCAAAATATATGTAAATATACGATGATAATGATAATAATATAATGATAATATAAATAAGAAAAATAATAATTTCGGATCAATCGGTAGAACGTACCTCCGCCAATAGATCCGAGTACAAATCTGTATCCACTCTCAAGAATTTGAACGATAACTCCGCGCTCCTCCGGGCTCTGAAAAGCAATGGTAACTTCGCTATTTAATGTAACACCTCACAAAAAGCCTCGTATATTCACGTAGATTTCGGGCTAAAAATTTGTTCCATTGTCACACCACGCTCGGCAGCGGATACTTCTTTTTTCACCACACTTACCGACACCGCCTTAATCTCAGCAAGACGTTTTGTTATTTGCTTGAAATACTGCTCAGGAGTAATAGCCACGAGATCATTGTATACAATTTTCCTGAAATCCCAGAAAATGCGAGCTCAATACAAACATCGTTGCTGAAGCGACAAGCGAAACAACATGGGGGAAGAAAGAATACAGAAATAAGAGAATCGTTATAAAAGGTAGATGGACGTCGATGGCACTGCTTCAAGCAATACTAATGTCCTGCCAGTACGTTCCTTAATCGTTATTTGTCTTAAACACGATAGGAGACAACCTAACGCTAATATATATATGCATGTGTACAGGGTATCTACAGCTTTTCCTTTCAAACGGTAACAACGTATTCTCTGTACGAAAGTAATTACAAAAATGTTACATAAACATTAACCATTTTAAGCTTTATTCAATAACATAAATAGTAAATCACTTAATATCTTATTTAAAGAACTGTCCGTCGTCTATGCGAATGCAAGTAAAACGAAAACACTTCTGAAAAAATAATATCTACACTAATACTTTTTTTTACAAGAATAATCATTAAATCAAATCAAATAATAAACATAATCGTTATTTAATAAATATGAAAATTTATAATTTAAATCATAATTTTTGAATAAAGCAAAAGTTATGTTTGTAGAACATTATGTTCTCATTTCCGTACATAGATTATGCTAAAACCGTTTAATTGGACAAATATTAGACACCTTGTATATATATATACATATATGTATATTATTAGTGTTAATGGGTGTGTGCAAGTATTAATAAATAGATCATCCTAAAAATAGATGCTAAAGAAAATATGTACGTGTGTGTGTGTGTGTGACAAACGTGTTATATATATATGCATATATTAAATATATATATATATATATATATACATGACAAAACATATCTTAGATAGCGCGAAATATTCTGTAATACAAAGGACGCACCCAAAACGCGAATCTGCCTCATCATCTTCCATAGTTCTGATCCGGGCAGCGTAAACACGTAAACAAACGTTTCTTTCAATAAACAAATTTTCCTTGGACTTGGACTCGCAATATTAAAAGATCGCTAATTGTTTTTTTGTTTAAGAAAAAAAAAATTGTATAATAAAGCTTTTTTTCTTTTTAAAAATAAGGTATAAAGAAAAATTAAAAAAAAAAAAAGACGATTATTAGGATTATTGTAATTAAAATTGTCGTTGGTGTGTAGTAGAGTCTGCATCTTCTTTGCCAAGAACGAGACACTCTGGATATTTGGATGATGACGAAGTGCTTGCTGGTGCAACGATAGCATTACGTGTTTTTATATTGGATATTGATCAGGTTTTCGTGGAAGGTATTCAAGTATTTACTCAGATATGTGGATAGACCGAATGAGACATATTTCTCTCTTATGTGTAAACTTAATATTTTCTATTTGTTTGCATGCATTTTCTTTTTCTTTTTTTATTTAGACATCTCTTTACATAACACGTATCTATTTCCTATCGGATGTCTCAAACACGTCTTCCACATATCCTTTTTAATACGATTTATCATCCGATAATAAAAGGGGATTTCATTTTCAAGGAGAAAGGATACTTACCCAGTTTGATGAAGTAAATGGCATAGATGAAAAAGGATGTCCACCTCAAGTGGTGTTATTTGAGACATCATTTGTGCTGAATGAAGAAATTCCTCTGGAAAAAAAAGAAGCAAATGTATAAAGAACAAATATTTAGATTGTTCTTGATAACAACAGTAATAGATTGATCATTTTAATTACCTTTGGTAACTTCTTGATATCTATGACCATTGGTCGCGTTCAGGTAAATACGTTTTATAAGTTCCATGTTATTTAGAAGCGAATTGAATGCCATGAAATATGGGAAGCTTACTTTCCGTCCACTTTGTACTGTACTGACTGCCTGCAATCATAATTTTCAATATGATCAATTTGAAAATATCTATTTTTAAAATACATTTATAGAGTAGATGAATTCTTACAGGTATTAAGTTATCTTTTACATCCTTTGTCAGTAAATGACTTTTAATACTAAGCATGATATCTTGAAAATCTATTGCCGAAATAAAACCCGTTCCATCTTTGTCAAATTTTTTGAATGCTTCCGTTGCATATTCCTCATGAAAGTCCTGCAACATAAATTAAAACACATTTCAATTTCACATTTTATTTAAATAATAAAATATCTGAAGAAATTACTTACATGTAGGAATTGACTGAATTCTGCGTAACTTATGAGCCTGCCTTTATCTTTGCCGAAATAAAGTTTGATGAAACTGCTATCCATGTTAAATGGCATCCTTTGATGTAAAACCGTTTTACGCATCACCTCAGTGAACTCGTCTGTTTTTCATTAAATAAAACAAATTATTATTAATTAATAATGATAAATATTAGTTTTAAGAATATTTATAAGAAATTCTTACCAAATGTAACCATTCCATTTCCATTAGTATCAAACAATTGAAATGCTGTTTTATATAATGCATCTGGGACGCAAAGTAGGCCTTCAAATGCTTGAAACTCGGCAAAGGATATGAGTCTGAAAAATAAATAAAAAAATCATCAATTTTAATCTATTTTTGTAATAAAATTAGTGGAGTAAGAGAAACCACAGAATAAATGAACAGATTGATGGAATTCAATATATGGGTATTGTAAATAAAGTTCTAAGCTTGATGTACTATAGATGGGTGTTGACGATATTGTAAGACTTCGGTTAGATAAAAATAGACTTTTATCAGAGTCTTCGTTATCCGTTAAGCTAGCACCCACAACTATTGAATCTACAAATGATCTAGCCACAACTCTCAATCTTTATCCGAATAACTTAAAAAATATATTTACAAGTTGATATATAAATATGGGAATGATTATCTTGGGAACACATAAGGTGTTTGAATAAATAAGTCTTATGATTTATCGTAAGAGTTATCTTATAAATATTAACATTTTATTGGCTGCACGTATGAGAAGTTAAATGTTGCCAGATGCTGGTAGTATTTTTGAAGAATGATAATAATTTAAACAGAGGTAGCATTACACATATGTTATGTGAGCAGTCACTAAAGTGTTAATAATATCTTTTCTATGCAAATACATAGATATCAAAATAAACAAATAAGGGATAATTAATGTAAAATGGCTTACCCATCTTTGCTAGTGTCGACAATTCCAGCAAGTAGATTAACGGAATCAGGATTATAATCAGCATCTGTGTAAAGACCAAGATAACTGCGTACAAAATCAGATGGGGTCATAAACCTTTCGCCATTCTTCTCTTGCGTGGCGTACTGTCATTGAACAAGAAAAAAAGAAAATGATTAATTATGTAATAATGTCAAATATTAATGTAAAATATTCTTTCAGCAAGAGAATAACTTTGCAACCACACGACATTGACTTTATAGATATTATGCAAGATATTCTCTTGACTGAAACTGCCACACCCAAATATTCTCATACGTAAAATTTAACGTGAATTAATTCCTGTAAATATTAATGAATTAATTTTAAATTTCAAATAAATAAGTTGCAATAAGAAAATCAATAAAATAGATAAATCAAACGTTTGAACTAAACTTCACACGTATATGTGCAAGGTGCATCTTAATTTAACCTTTAAACTCTTTTTGACGATACACTCCGAAGATAAAAACGTTCATGAACTAAAGACATTTAACATTTAACATTTTGCTAGTTCCAATGTACAAACAACGTGATATCAATATGATTCTGGAGAACGTGTTCCAACCAATGAAATATTTAACATTTTCAATTTTTATGTATTTAGAATATTTATTGTTCTTACCTGATTAAAGATTTCATAGAGGCGATCACTGTTCGCACGTTTTAAGTATCCGGAACCCTGAAATATACAACAATCGTTAATAAACAATTTTTTATGACAGTGTACAAACAAATTTTTCAAATCCTTAATTTAAAGAAATCAAAATTGTAATACGAAGATCATAAAACACATTTCTACAAAGATTTATAATTATATTAATCTTGTTGTAAATCATTTAAAGTTAATATCATATAATTTTCTAAAATCGTTATCGAAAATGAAATAAAATGTCAAAACGATTTGTTTCGTTTCGTTTTCACTTACAATTTAGTTACGTTAAATTGTATATAATTTACGTCGTGTAATTTGCATTTATTTGTGTATTACCTATCGTAAGAATATCGATCCTACGCCACTGTTATTTTATACGATATTACGTGAATCGACCCTGACTTACTATAAACGAATGCCATTGTCGTATGCACTTCATTCACGCTTTGCAATTTACTTACGTGCGACCTTATCGAGGCCTAACAAGTTTACTCTTACCACGGAAGACAAGATTTTAATCTTTCCTTTCACTATGTCTAATCTATTTAGAATAATTAATAAATAGTTTAAAATTTAAAAAAAAGTTTACATGTTAGATTGGTAAAAAAAAAATGTATAAATTTAAAAAATATTAGTACGCGTAAAAATGCGTTAATTTTTTCCCCAATTTTAAATCTTTTATTTTTGTTTTTTTTTAATACTTAGACTCGAGGTCACGTATCTAATTAAAAGCCTTGACGTCACGCTGATTATTTAATCCTCAACTTTTAAATATTTTTCTTAAAAAAACGAACAACCTCTTCGTTCAATCATCAGCGTATGAAAAATTATGAAAAATGTATAATTTAATTCTAAAATAATCTGATAGAACTTTAATATTCGTAATATAATATTATTAATATATTTGTTTGAATGATCGATAGTGTAGGTCGTACTTTACTACATCTAACTGATGTCTTGTTTATTCTATTCAATATTTCTATTTTAGGATTATCTATTTTCCCCGAGAGTGCAATTATCATAATTATTTCAATTCTTCGATAATCATGTTAAGTGCTTACTTAAAAAAGAATAAAATTTGAAAAAAAAAATTATTTATAAAGGAATACAAACAAATATGATTAACTATTCTTATTATATTTGTCTAACAAATACTTAAATTTTTTAAATGAATTAATCTAGTAAGGTTAATAATATAATAAATTGACCATCTGGACAATATTGATCATGATTGATCAAAGGTTAAAATAGTCGAACTCGAGATACAAGATCGTTCATTCACTAAATGGGAATATTAAATCAATATCGACATGGAAATCGTTTTTCTCCGATGTCTCGTTTATATAAAGTGACATTTTCTTGTTTTAAATATCCTCAACATCCTTGAAATCTGATATTTGAAAAATTATTCAAGATAGACTTAAAGAAAGCAAAAATAAATGACAAAGTGTAACAGTGAATTCTATTATTCTATTAAAATATATATATATATGAATGTAAATTTGAATATTTCATTGAATGAATATGTAAAATTTATTTATAGGAGTAGAACAAACATGTCAGGTTGATACAGCCCTGACAATGATTACAAGTTTAAGACCTTGTAATACGATTGCAAAACTTACAATTAGTGTATTAGCCTGATGATGATGATGATGAAACTAGCATGTACACTAATCAAACTAAACTTGTTTTACCAGATAAAAGTTGATGACGATAATAGGTACCGTACCTAAGCAAGTAAATTCATTTTATTTTTAAATAATACTATAAAAAAAAAAAATCTCATTTATATGTGGTTGTATCTATGTGAAGTAAAAATGAAATTTTGTCAGACTTTTAAAAGAGCTTTCAAAATTGCTCTTTTCGGTCAATAACGCAAAACTCGAGTATCATCGATAAAATTCAATATCTTTGATATTTCGAATGTTTCTCTCTCTCAAAAAAAAAAAAAAAAGAACTAATCTCGATAAATTGAAATATTAAATCTTAGAAATTTGATGTAACAAAAAAGGATTTTATTTATACTTAAGATTTTCATGATTTTTAATTCGTTAATTAAAAAGATGAAATAAACCGATGTTACGTATATGTAAGTATTAAATAATTTTCTTTTATGTTTCGTGATAAAAATTCATGAGTACAGTTGTGAGTACAAATAATTAATGTCATCGTAATGAATTCATTTGATCGATAATAACAAAATTATTTCAGTAGCTTCGTATTTACGTTACGAGATATAAAAAGTAAAAGCAATAAAGATAAAATATTTGAGATCGTTTTAAAGCCAAATTGTGCAGATATTTTTTTTTTTTTTTGAACATTCAAAACGAATAAAAATTAGTTTAATGTAATAAGTATTTTACTACAAGTTTTCTGTCATAAAATAATTAATTATTTATAGAACGTGATAAAATTTTTGAAATTATAATTATTATTATAAAGACTATGGAATAGAAAAAAAATGTATATTATTAATTATATATTGTTAGTTATTTAATGATAAAAAGAATTAACTCAATTGAAATAATTTCACGTTATCGAGTTACTGTTTTAATTATTTTTTTTTTTTTTTTTTTTAATATCAATTTGTAGATCGATAACAAAGACGAGGACGACTATGTCGACGAATATTACGAGTTTCGTGCCACGCGTCGTTCACTATACGATACTAAACATTCTCAGGGTCGTCTTGAAGAAATTTTTAGCAGAGAAAATAGCATTGAGTTTTCTCTCATTGTACAAACAAATTTATTATCTTTGTCACTTTTTATAGCTTTTTGTTTGTTTCATGAAAATGATAACCCTTTTGATAAAATACGAAAGTTCCTATTGACCTCTTTTTACAATTTTTTTTTTTTTCTTTTTTTTTCCCCATCAAATAAACAAAATACAAGAAAGAGTAAAAAATCATCATCTCGTCATACTTTGGTTAATTTTATCAAAATTCGAATAACGTGTCGGTTCGATTAGAATAGTCGATTTGAAGAACAAGAAATCGTGGTTCAAGGTTAAGTAACGAGTATAGAACAGAACAGCAATGTCTGAACGGTGAGAGAGAAGCCAAGGTTAGATCAAAAAGAAAGAAAGGTATCTCTATCTTTTATCTCTTGCAAATCTAATTGTAAAATGTCTTTCTCTGTTTCAATCACGAACGTACGTACGGATGGCATACTGAAGATCACTGGTGCTTATCTTGTTATGGATGTCGATAATGCAAATTGAACAAGGACGATGACATCCGGAAATTGTAAAGGATCAATGACACACACGTACACGTTTTTCTATATGTCGAGTTTTTTTTTCACATGCATATGTTTCTATAAATAATTTTATTTTTATTTTTATTTTTTTTTTTTACACTCTCACCTCTCTCTTACTCTTTCTAAATCTATCAAATAATTAACTTGATTACAAATATTTATATAATTGTTTCATGTATTTAAATATATATTTTATTCAATTATTATATCGTGTATAAAAAAATTAATTAATAAGTATAGACAATTATTTCTATTAAATTAATATATTTAATTAATAAAATTAAATAAATAACAAATAAAAAAGTACTGGAGAAGGAGAAATTATTTGATAAAAATGAAGAATGTTTTATAATACACGTGCACGCGTTAAACACGTGTTCCTCGTATATAAGAATGACGAAAAGAGAAAGAGAGAGTGAGAGAGAAGCACACAACACATACACACTTTTAAATATATATATATATATATGATGAAACGATCGAATCGACGTGTCACGTAAAGTAGTCACGACGAGACTAATGTGAGAGTAGCATCAGAGTTTTGCCTCGTGATACGCAAGAGAGAAGGAGAAACTTTGCGATGACGATGACGACGACGATAAAAACAGAAAGAGAGAGAGAGAGAGAGAGATAGACAGACAGACAGAGAGAGTTAGGAACATACATAATGTTTTATCTCTCTTCTTCTAACTTCATAAATCCCTTCTTCCGTTTCTCGTTCTCCTCGTTAAACTCTATCTCTTTCTCTTTTTTTTTTTTATTAACTCACTCATACTCGTGTACTCACAACTCATACTCTCACACACACACACACATATATATATATACAACATACATCGTGTATGAGCAAACACGTTTTTCATATTCCATTGTATGCATTTTTTATTCGTTATTTTGTTCTAGTTTGTTATCAATTATTTTCATTTACCAAATTTATCATGTTTACCTGGTTTTCTTTTTTTCTTTTTTATATTCAATGTTTGTTAAGTACTACTTGTGCATTATGCTTTTAATATTTTCTCATTTTTTCTTTTAAATATGTTAGAGAGCATGCAAACGTCAGCAAGCAATACGCAATAGTGTTATCATCGTTCTCGCGTTTTTCATCGAGGACGCAATGTTTTTTTTTTTTATTTACAATATATGGACATAACGCGTTACAATTTAGTTTCAAAGCAAAAATCTTGTCGTAATATCAAGAATGTACTTTTATTTTTCACTACGTTAATATGGAAATATTTTTAGTTGTGAAATAATTAGAAGACAAATGTGTTAATCAGTGAAATTTCTTGTAGTTTTTTTTTTTTTTTTTTTTGTATTTAGGGCTAATGTTAATTTTGTTATTTAAATGATTATTTGAAATTAGATCAACAAGATTATGTAAGACAGATTATTATTTGAATATTGTGTGAGCAAAATGAAATAATATTTGTCTACTTTTCTTTCTCATTAATCAGCATAGTTATCTGATTAAAGTTGTTATGATATACGGTTGATGTTAGTTAAAATCTTACACAACACCATTACGCTTATTGGATTTTTTCTTGAAAATTATTTTCATTATACATGTGTATGTAACTTTCGAAAAGTTCTATAAAGAAGAAATAATATAAAATAAATTTGAACTAACTTTCATAAAGAACAATAAATCAGTCTAATAGTAGAATTCAAACAGAACGGTACATCCAATCTTACATTTGCATCCTTTGAGATTATTAATTACCAATTATTTTTATTTTTATTTTTTTTTTTTAAATAAAATCA